CGCCATTGATCACCAATGAGAACAGCACCATAAATGCGACGCAGTATCTTACGCTCAAACACTTGTAAGCGTTCCTCATCTTTCTTACTTATAACCCAGCATTCTGAACCGTATGTCAAAATTGGCCTCAACAGGGTTTTATACAGGAAATTTTTTATGTTTCTAGAAAGTATTTAGAAAGTATATTTATATTATTACTGCTTTATTAAAGTCTACTTTTATATTGTTATAGAGAAAAGATTTGTATTTTTGTATATATTGAAATAATTCAAAAATTACTAGGCCGATTTCAATTTTTTTTCACTAATAAACAGCTAAGTTACCAGTGAATAACATAGGCCATGTATATTACTTATTTTTTTAATTCCATGGGGTCGAAGTCACAAGCAATAGCTAGTGTAATATATATAAAATCCAATGCCAGCCATTGTAATGGACTTGATGTATGGTGGATGTTTCAATTATGTATATTCCAACTCCAATTTCAATCTCTATTAGTTCCTGGTACAGTTAGATGCATAAATTAATCCACAAAACTAAGTAAAACCTTATATGCTTTCAGAATTAAATATATATTTGTACTTATTTGTTAATAACTGGTATTTATGAAAGCATATGGACAGACAAATATACATGTTTGAATTTCAAGTCGCTACTGCACGTATATTTAAAAAAGTTATTTGGTTTTAACAGTGGTAGAGCCCGCTTTAACATGTTCGCACTGTAGGGTCGGCTCGCCCCCAACAATACCACGACCACACAGAAATCAGGCGTGAAGTGGATGCAATTCCGCGTTTCGTCTGATGAGTGTGGTGCCGGAGGCCTAATTTTAGTCCCTTTCCATTTCCACCCTTTTGTTAAGAGGAAAGGATGGATAAAGTGGATTTGACGGTGGAGAAGACGCATAGGAAGGGGAAATGTCCTCTTTATGTGCGTTTTCTCCGTAAATTAAGGGTTGGCAACGCATCTGCAATTGCGGATGTTTATGGTCAGCGGTCGCCTTCCATTTTGGTGGATTCAGGTGGCCGCTTGCTCCTTATGTTATAAAAAAAAAACTATATCCCTTTACAAATATTTTAACAATGGAATCCCACCCTTAGCCATACATCGTTTTCTTTTACAAGATTGCAAGTAGAACATTAAAAAACGTATTAAGATTTGATCATTTTTATCTTGATTTGTAACGCAGAGTTTGTTATCTTTAATGATTTATTATTTTATTAATAAAACAATTAACATTGGCCTAGAATAGATTTTAATTGTTAATATGGCATTGAAACAAATTTAGTTATATGTAATAGGGCAGGAAAACAACAAATATTGATAAGTTAAATATTTTAAATCATATCCTACTTCCTACTAATATTATAAATGCGAAAGTTTAGACGGATGGATGTTTGTTAGAGTTTGTAGTATAAACTGCTGAACGGATTTCGATGAAATTTGGTTATGTAGAGGATAGTCTGAAAGAACACATAGGCTACTCACATTTTTTAAACTACGCAAACGGAGTCGCGGCCGAAAGCTAATTATATACAACTATAATCTGTTCCAAATTTAAAAAACAGATTTTACAATTAATTTCTACTTTTTCTTACATTACAAGATTAGAAATCTTACTATTTTTATGCGATAGTTTAAATGGATGGATGGAGTTTGTATTTTAAACTGCAGAACAGATCTTGATGAAATTTGCCTTAGATGTAGAGTGAGGTCTAGAACATGGGATACTAAGGGCCTGTCCCACATCTGGCTGATAGAGGCTCAGAAAGCTTAAAAATGACGTCACTCAGATAAGGGGACAAAATCCGATATTTCCATCACACATTTTACACATTGGATTGTTATCAGTCAATTTGCAATTTGGTGGGACAGGCCCTTACGTTTATTTTTAATTCTCCACACTGTCTTTATAAGTTTAGCTGATTTAGTTATTATTTAAATTTAATTTTTTTATCAATTATAGTTAGTTTTATTGTAGTTTATAGTAATATTATAAAGAGAAAAGATTTATATTTTTTATGTATTGAAAGAACTTAAAAACTACTGGACAAATTATAAAAATTATTTCACAATTAGAAAGGTAATTTATCTGTGAGTAACTTAGGCTACATTTTTCTATTTTTTTTCTTTTACACGGGTGATGTCGCGAGCAATACAGTGTTTTATAAATTATTTTTCCAATGATTTTTTTCTATTAATATAGTTTAGGTGTAAATTTAAAATGTACTATAGAAATAAATGTTACTTCCAGATTGTTCTTCCAAGTGGTGCCAGATGATCAGAGCTTCGATGAAGATTATGCCGGCGTCTTTCATTTCCGGTAAATGTTCTATTTTTTTTCAGTATGAAACGCATAGATGTAGGAAATATTACCTTTCTGTACGTTCCCTGTTGATGAGAAGTATGGCACTGGCCATTTTGGGCAGTTCTGGTTTGGCATCGACACCAAAGTAATAATAATTGTACAATATAGTCATAACAGCTACAATAAGGGAGGTTTACTATTTTCAAGGAATTATTTTGTTACTTTTTACTGTATTGTTTTTTGAGAACATTTTGTTTTGTGTATTTTGTTTGGAAGTAGGTTTTGTTTTTTATTATACGAACTAGCCGCTCTCGTGCGGCTTCATCCACGTGAAATTATAATAAAAAAATTAATTGTTCACATTTGTCAAATACTCCATTGCAAATGTCAAAATTCCATTACCATAATAACCTTGCTTCCTTAATGTTGGCAGTTGGTAGTTTATGGTCCCTTTCCCACATAAAGCTTTTTATTTACCCTCTAACTTTAATAGCTTGAAAATATATAGCTCAAAACGTGTCGTAAGTGTAAGACTTTTTAATAAGGAAAAATATGTTCAAAAATATGCTGTGATTACAGGCATACGCCACAAAGTAGTGTGTCTTATTAGTATAGATGGATATAAATATGTGGGAATGGATTTTGGCGTGGAAGGGAACGGAACGGAAGTGTGAGGGAGAAGGCATGTGAGCGACAGAGAGAGAGGTTGAAGGGCAAAAGGTGAACAGACAGATCAAACGATGTCAACGGAGTAGTTAGTTTAACGAATGAATAAAAGTCTCAATTGATTTATCTGGCGTTTTACTTGATAATTGAAGGATACCAACCACTATATATACATAAATTGTTGTTATGTTTCAGTTTCTGGCAGTACGGCCGCTGGGTGGACGTGGTGGTGGACGACCGGCTGCCCACGTACCGCGGCAAGCTGGTCTTCCTCCACTCCTCGGAGAGGAACGAGTTCTGGAGCGCGCTGCTGGAGAAAGCCTACGCTAAGTATGAAAACTAATTAATGTCACTATTGTGTATATATTGTTAAGAAGATAATTAGTACCGCGCTATAGAAGTGGCGCAACACTAGATTATTGGCATAAACGTCACATCTCTAACTGACAGCTGTCAATGTCATTAATAATAA